GTGAGTGGAGGGACTGGTCATTCTTGTCCATGCTGTTGGTCTGGTCTGATGGGCCAGGGCAGCCATGAAGTCACCTGTCCCCACAGTGCAGGTCACGTCATCCCCATTCTGGTCATTCAGGCATTATTAATGAAAGGAGCTCTTCCAGGTCAGGTCCTTTTTATTTGAATTATATTTAGGTTAGACATAAGGAGGCTCTTCCCTGTGAGGGTGCTGAGGCACTGGCACAGGGTGCCCAGAGAAGCTGTGGCTGCCCCATCCCTGGCAGTGTTCAAGGCCAGGTTGGACACAGGGGTTTGGAGCAACCTGCTCTAGTGGAAGGTGTCCCTGCCCATGGCAGGGATTGGAGCTGGATGAGTTTTCAGGTCCTTTCCAACCCAAACCATTCTATCATTCCGTGAATCTTCTCCCATTATGCTCAGTCTTATCTCTGTCATGCATATATAAAGGTTCTTGGAACAGTTTCTTGCAAAGTGACTGAGGAATTAAGATGGGCACCTGAAACCTGGTATTTGTGTTCCCTCCCAGCGGAGACTGAACCTCACGAAGGGAAGAGGAAAGTGGAATCCCTTTGGCCTATCTTCAGGATCCATCACCAGAAAACACGTTACATCTTTGACCTCTTCTATAAAAGAAAAGCTATCAGCAGAGGTGAGGAAGGCAAAGGCTTTACCTGGGTGGGTGTCGTGGTTTAAACCCAGCCACACAGCTAGTTCACTCACTTCCCCCCTTCCTTCCTCTTTCTTTCCTTCTCACTCCCGGAGGGATGGGGAGGAGAATCGAAAGCATGTTAACTCCCACGGGTTAAGAACAGTCCAGTAACTAAGCTATAACACAAATCACTACTGCTACCACCAATGATAATAATAAGAGAAAATAACAAGGGAAGAGAATACAATACCACCCGCTGAAATGACTCTGACCCAAAAAGAGAGCCCCATGCCCTTCCAGGTAACTCCCAGTTACCTTCCCGGGCATGACATGCTGTGTCTCTCTTTGGCCAGCTTGGGTCAGGTGTCCTTCCTCCTGGCCTCCCCTCCTCCCTGGCAGAGCGTGAGCCTCACAGAGTCCTTGGTCAGAGTAAACATGACTTAGGAACAAATAAAACATCGGTGTTATCAGCACTATTCCCAGGCTGAAAGTCAAAACACAGCGCTGCACCAGCTACTAAGAAGGAGAAAAAACCTGACTGCTACTGCTAAACCCAGGACAGTGGGGAAGAATGGAGGCAGACGTCTGCCTCCATGGGTGTGTTGGTCGGAGGGATGAGATGTATGGGGAAGGAAGGGAAAGCTGGCAGCTCTCTGGCTTTACTTACTAGTTACTGCAGGTAGTAATTCCTGATGGTGAATCTTCTAACGCTTCCCGAGAGCTACGTGTGATGCTGTCTGCTCCTCTACAGAGCTCTATGAGTACTGCATCAAGGAAGGATACGCTGACAAAAACCTGATTGCAAAGTGGAAGAAACAGGGTTATGAGAACCTCTGCTGCCTCCGGTGTATCCAGACACGGGACACCAACTTTGGAACCAACTGCATCTGCAGGGTCCCCAAAAGCAAGCTGGAAGTGGTAAGAGTTTTTAGCTTGTTCCTCTCCTTGTGCTGACCCTGGTCTAACTTCTGTGCCAGGGATAGCAGGAGGGGTAGTGCTGTTCTTCCTGGTAATTGCCACTAGTTCCAACATTTCATGTCCTTGCTGGTAGAGCTGGTATCTGATTGCTTCTTAAGTTACCATCAACTTTGGCGTGCAGTTGTTTAAGGTTGTTAAAGCAGAAAACCTGATGGTAGAAACCCTTACTCATGCAGGCCTGATCTCTGCCTGGTGGGCCCCTCTGCTCATGTCACTTGGCTCAAATCCCTTCTCTGTGTTTCTTTTCCAGGGGAGAATCATTGAATGCACTCACTGTGGATGCAGAGGCTGTTCTGGGTGACACCTTTAGCCCTAAAACTACTTTTTGAACTCTTGAGGGATGTCATCCTACGCAGTGGACTATTAGAGCAGGTACCAGCCACCTTCTGTTTGATTGCTTATTTCTCTATAGCAATAACCAGCAACGTACTCACCTGGATCATTCTACAGCGGTGGTGCTTTTGGAATGTGGTTTTGTGTAGCCATGTATTTTAAAATAAAGTCTGCCCCCCTTGACTTGGTCTGACTGGGCTGGATGCGTTCTGACTGGGCTGGATGCGTTCTGGTTGCTCTGCCTACTGGGAGGTTTTCCAAATGGGGGTTATTTTTTAACCAGCTCTCACTCTCCTTTCTCAACAAAGTGAATTTAAAAGGCTGTGTAGAAAGGAAGTAATACACTTCTCAAATGGCTTTCTGAACCAAGCTCTCTGCTGAGGTCTGTAACCTGGAATCGGTGCATAGATTCATGCATGAACACACACAGGAAAGGGACAAAACTAGCACCGAGCTAAACCACTGTTAAATCTGATGTTGCTTCTTCCTTATTTAGCACAGGGTTTGTTAAACTACAGCCTGTGTAGTTCTCTGCAACTGAAAATTTGCTTGTCCTTAAAGCAAAGCACAAGCATCGTGTTACACAGTTACCGCAAGAGCTCAATTTTCACATTGAAACACCAAGGAGCTTTACTACGGTTTAAAGGAGAGAGTTGGAAGTTCTTGCTGCACAAGGAAGGTGGAGAACTTCAGCATCCTTCTCAGTGCTGTTTCTGCCCCGGCTGTTCCTGCACAGCTTCTGCCTCACTCTCATTGACTGCATGTTTTGGTGTCCGGTATTGTGCCCAGGGGTGGGGGGTCTCCTCTCCTGCCATTACTTTTAACCACCGATGGTAGTAGCCACGGAAACCATCAATTTTCTCCAGGTAGCGGTTCTTTGACTTATACTGCAAACAGAAAGCCAACAAAACAAGTGTCTGTTAGAAGAGAGCTCACTTGGATTCCAGCACGCAATAGCTACAAGCTGCTCCTTAAGACCCAGCTATGGAATGACTGCCAGCCAGATCAAACAAACCCAAAGGAAAAAGGCAGCCACTTCCATTTCCCTTCCCTTGTTGTGTGTCCTTCACGCTGTGAGCAGTTGTGGCTACTCACCCTGTCGAATGTTGGGGGGTACTGTGCTGCATACTCCAGCTGCCGTATGATCACTTCGTTGGGAGGCACTTGGTTATTCCTCATGTCCCGTAGGATCTCTGTGAGGTAACTGTAATCCAGCTTCCTCACAGCAGCAGCAATGAGGGTGCTGTAGATGTACTTGTTGGGAGTTATTCCAGACTTCTGGAAGCAACAAAACCTACTGTTAAACTTGCTTATCTGCACACTAGAGCAGGATTCCCAGAAGGAAAAGGCTCGCAGCCACAAGGAGCACAGCTCTTGTTGCAGGCACTGTGTAGCAGCTAAAGAGTACCAGCATACCCCATTGCAAGCCCTCTCCTGTCCCAGTAGTACAGGACATTTGAGCTGGCAGCTACTCTGGAGCTGCATGGTTTTGGAGTGAGAACACAAGCCCCCAACACAGGAATCACATCCTGTCTTTTTAGAAGCATTAACGCTTCACTTTGCCTCTTCCTGCAACAGAGGTTTGGTTTGGGGTTTCTTATTACCTTTAAATCTGAGAGTAACTGCAGTCCATCCTTCTCCTGGCAGCAAGCAATTGCCAAGTTACAGAAGGTGTGGAGGTTGGGTGATAGGCCCCTCTTCACTAGAGCTGGCAGCATGCTCTGCAAGACACAAGTGTTGGCATCAGTTTCCAGAAAGTCTTGGTGGAGCTTTCCAGACAGAGCTGACTGTGCTAGAACAGAATCCACAGATCCTTACCCATTAACCCTGTGGAAAACACCGTGAGATCCCTAGTTGCTAGTGTGGACAGAGGAACAGGTCTCACAAAACAGAGCTAATGAGGGAGGCCTGAGACAACATGGCTGAGTTTTGGGGTCTTTTTCCTCACCTTTGCTCCTTCCAGATCTCCCAGTTTACTTTTCTTCCTTATTAAAGTGTTAAAGAAGGTCACATCTACTTTTACTTTATGATTATCTAGGAGTGCCAGCAAAGCAGACTCTGAGGGGCTCTGGGGTTCCACCAGCTCAGCCAGTAATGTGAATGTTTTAATGTTGGGTTCTGCATTGTCCTCTTTCATTTTATTCAAGAAGCCCTCCACATCCCCCATCAAAGCCAGTCTATCGGATGGTGCAGACACTCTCCCCAAGGAAACCACGGCTCTGTTGGGCATCTTGGAATCCAGCAAGTTGGGCAGGTTGCTGAATTGCAGTGTCTGGCTTTGGTGTGCTTGTTCCTGCTCCATCTCATGCTGGCCTCTACTCATCAAGGCTCCAGGCTTGCTGAGAGCTAAAGAGGGGCTGTTGAGAGCTGCTGCTTCTCCTTTAGCCTGGGTCACATCTCTGTTTTGTGGCCTGGTCTCTTCTTTAGGCTGCACTGAGCCTTCCTGAAAGAGTTGTTTTTCCATAGCTTCCACATCCAGCTGCACAGCAGCTCCACTCTCTGATCCCTTCTTCTGCTTCTTAACCTTTTCCTTCTGCCTCCCGGGTGCAAGCCTGAGCTGAGGTGAGTTCTCACTGGGAGGGCTGAGCAGGAGTTCAGAAGCCACGGCAGGGTCACCGATCCCACAGTCTCTTGCAGCACGCAGCATCAGATTGTAAGTGTGGCTGTCACCTTTTATCCCAAGCTTAGCCATTTGTTTCCAAACCTAAAGAGAAGATGAACATCAGGTGTACATGATATTAAATAACAGGGGTGTTTCTAGCAGATTGTATCTGTGAATGGTGTCTGCTTGCAGAAAAGGAGTGGGTTTAGAGCATAAGATACCACTGGACTGTGGGATCATCCATGGTGTTTTACCCGTCTATGAGACATCCTGATGGACATCTGGTTTACAGAGCTTGTCCCAGGAGGAGCTGAACTCCCTGTTTCACCAGCTCTGGGCAACCTCCTGCCTTCTGTGCATTCAAGTTACAATTCAGAAGCACTTCTTCCTCCCCACTTACGAAGACAAACCTGTAAGGCGTATCGGAAACCACTTTCGTTGTCCTTTATGCAGCCCATCAGAAGGAAGCTGAAGGTCTCAATGGTGGGAACATGGCCCTTGTGCACGATTTCCTAGAAGAGCAGAGACAGCATTAAACTTCCAGTTACCCAGAATGTCTGCTGCAGCTGGCTGTGAAGTTCAAGTACTGCTGTTGTTTTCTGGGGATACAGCAGCAACAAAGCATAGGTGAGCTCCCAGAACGGTCGCTCCAGGAGAAAGAGAGCCCTGAAATGCACACCCAGATCCCAGCTTCCTCCTCCTGGGAGCTATGGGAAATCTAGGAGCAGAAACAGCAATCCTTTTGGCTTCTCCCAGACCGGCCCTTCAGAGAAGAGCTGCTGTAAGAGCTTAACAAGAAGCTGGGTATCAGTATATGGGTCTTCAAAAGGAGGAATGGAAACAGACACAGCATTGTTTGTTGAGTCTCTGACCAGAGTCTCAAAGCCAACCTCTGCAGCTGCCTCCTTTTATGTACCTGAGCCTCATGTTTGCTACGTACCAAGACCATTTCATTGTATGAGACCAAGGATCAATGAAATATAAACATGTGATGTGTAATCACCTCTGCTGGGAATGAAGTAAAAGTGGTCTATGCAATATGGCAACTTCCAGGAGCTGTAACTGGAGCAGACTGCATTAAATACGGTATTATTATATAGTATTTACCTTCAGTACATCAAAGCACATCCTGAGATCAGAGCACAGGGCACAGGCCTTCAGCAGTGCGTGGTAGGTGATGAGGTTCAGCTCTTCATTCTTGCTTTTTAGCTGCTGCCGTAACTTGAGAGCACTCTGCAGACCCGAGTCCTTCCATGGGGATTCAGCACAGGCATTGAACAGCGCTGTGTAAGTGGCCTCAGTGGGAGTTAAGCCACGTTTCTTCATCTGCAGGAAGAGAAGGATTTGAACTGGCTTTTTAGGAGAGGATTTATAGACTCTTTGAACATGTTTTTAAGAGTTTCAGGCTAAGAAAGGTGCAAACTCAAAGGTATTTTGGAGACAAAGTAATGCAACCAAATGCGTGACACAGCTTTAACTTAGAAAACATAACAAAGGTTTGAGAGAGGAGAGGATATGAACCTACATCATTGTAGAGCCTGAATGCTTTCTTCACATAGCCAACCCTGCCACAGCCACCAATCAGAACCGTGTAATTGCTTTCTTCTGGCTGTACACGTTCTTCCTTCAGCATCTGCACTTCGAACAGCTCCAGAGCCTCTGCCAGCTGCAGGGAAGAGGAAAATCCATGCTAAAGCAGCACAAGAATCAATTATAATGGGTATTTTGTATGCAGCTGTGGCCTGACTGTGGTGAAAGTCCTCCAGAGAGCATAGGATTCCTCACAAATTCTCCTTTCTGTAAAGATGCTAAGGGATGGGACGATACAGATGGGACTGAGCTGCATCTTTCAGAGACAAATTGTGCTTAACAAACCCGATCACCTGCTATGAATGAGTAACCTGCTTAGCTGATACAGGACAAGCAGTGGACACTGTCTACCTGGGTGTCTCTAGGGCTTTCAATACAGTTTCCCAGTCTCCTAGAGCAGCTGATACATTACTGTCTAGACAAGGGGTCTGTGTGGTGAGGCGGGGACTGGCTTGTGGTGAGCAGCTCCTTCTCAAACTGAGGACCTGTCACTCATGGGGTCCCCCAGGGATCAATATTGGGCCCAACACTGTTCAGTGTCTTCACAAGTGGTGCGGATGATGAACAGTGTGCCACTACAGCAAAGGAAGGCAACAGGATGCTGGGTTACATCAACAGCTGAGACGGAGAAGCCATCATCCCACTCTACTGGGTACTTCTCAGGCCACACCTGGGAATACTTGGTTTAGTTTTGGTCCCTGCTATGCAAAAAGGATGTGGACAGGGTCCACAAAGTTGATCCAAGGAGCGGAAAGCCACACAAGGCAAAGCTGACAGAGCTGGGCTTGAGAAAAGAAGCCCCAGGGGAAGACCTTTTCACCATGCTCAGTATTTAAAGGGTGGCTACACAGAGGGCAGAGGCTCCTTCTTACATGGAAAAGACACAGGGCAATGGGCACAAGAGAGTATTTCCCAATGAGATCAACCAGCCCCTGCGATAACCTCTCCAGGGAAGCAGCTGCTTCCCCAACAGTGGACACTGTTGAGATTCAGCTGCACAGGGTGCCGGGACATCGTTTAGATCATGCTTTGCCGACAAAGGTTGGACCAGATGACCCTTGAGGTCCCCCCCCACCTGATGTTCTGTGAGTCCACGATCCCCCATCAATGCCGTTACCAAAGCAGCGAAGAGCCGGGCACAAACCTTGTTTTCTTTGATGAGAGCCTTGCACCGCAGGAAGTACCAATACGGGGTGTTCGCGGGGCCGCGCCGAGCTCTTCGTTCTGCTTCTTCCTCTCCCTCTTCCCGCAGCTTTAAATTCTGGAGGCGCGGGGTCGTTTTGTGATAGTATTTCCGAGAGGAAAACTCCTGAGACAGCGTCCCGAACTCCACACCTTCATCATCGCCATCGCCATCCTCCTCCCGCTCCTGCTCCTCCCCAGCGCCGCTCGCCCTCAGGCCGCTACGGGGCAGCTCTCGGGACGCTTGCGACGACCCCAACAGCCTCCACCCCGGTCCCCGGAGCTGCCGCGGTGCCTTCCCGGCGGGGGCTGCGGCCGGGCCCCTCCGCACGGCGCTGGAAGCCCAGCGGCACCGCGACGCCAGGGGCAGGAGCAGCCCCAGCGGCCTCATGGTCCTTGAGCGGGGCACGGTGTCCCGCCCCGCCTTCCCCTCCACTCCCGGCTGCCGCCGCCGCCTCAGCGGGGCGGAAGAGGCGCGGCCTCCGCCGGAGCTCGGCGCAGCCGGGTCGGGGGTGAGTCCCGGCATTCCGCGGGCGGGCGGCGCGGGGCGGCCAGGAGCTGCCGCCGCCGCTCTCCCCGTTCCTTAGGCGCTGCCGGCGCGGAGCAGAGCGGGCCGGGCCGGGCCTGCCCGGGCCCGCCCGCCCGCTGCTCCCGCCGCCATCATCACCACCACCACCATACCCCCGCTGCCGGCCCGCTGCCGCCGGCCCCCGGCCGCCACCATGCAGGAGCTCATCGCCAGCGTGGACCACATCAAGTTCGACCTGGAGCTGGCCGTGGAGCAGCAGCTGGGGGCGCAGCCGCTGCCCTTCCCCGGCATGGACAGTGCGTGCGGGCACCGGGTTGTGGCCGGGCGCTTCCCCCCACCACCACCCCTCACCTTGAGCCGGGGAGGAGGGTGGGGGAACGGGGGGGGGGGAGGTTTCCCGGGATCTGAGCGCTTTAGCTCAGGTCTTGTCCTTAAATCCACCCGAATTCCGCGTCCCCGGTGAGGTTTGTGTGTTAACCCGGGTGTGCTGTGTTACTGCTTAGCGAAAGCCTGGAGGATGGAAGTTGGGGCGTTTTCAGGAATAAACATCACTTTCCTGCACAGTAACTGATGTTTTTTCCCCCTTCCCTCCTGATGGATGAGGTATTTTGATGATAGGGAGGCTTCTCCTTTGGGTATATCCATGGGCTCGGCTCTAAGCCGTTCCCTTCGGTCTGATAACTGGATGCAGGTGGTCTGCAGGAGACTTTGCTGAAGCTTCCGGGCTCCTCAGTTTGTGTTTTAACCCCCTCAAACATTGTGGGTCCTGTTGGACCAGAAGGGGGTAACACCCCCATGGTTGTTTCAGGCTCCTGTGGTCAAACACTGTAAGGCTGTTGTTGACAGGGCTGTAATTGCAGTGTGCACTGACACGATTGACTTAGCAGCAGAGGGAAACCCAGTCAACACAACCTAAATACCTGGAAAGCAAAACAAGCACCACTAAATCTCTGCAAGTTCCCTTTGGTGCCCCCCAGCAAGAATGCAGGTGTTTGCCAGGGCCATAACGGAGCAAGGAGCTTAAGCAGGGCAGTAAATTCCCCAAACCGGACCAAAGCACTGCTTTCCTTTTGATGTTAAGGACCAGATGCTCCCTCTGGGGAAGGAAACAGGTTAAAAGTTGGCACCAGACCGAGTTAAAATGAGTTATGTTTCTTCTCTCCACAGAATCCGGCGCGGCTGTCTGTGAATTCTTTCTAAAAGCGGCCTGTGGAAAAGGCAAGTGAAGTTTCCAATGGAATTAAGGGGCTGGAGGGAGGGAGACCAGTGGTTTCAAGCACTGCCTATGGTGCTCTTGTGGTTTTAAAACCTAGAGTGAGGATGAGACTGAAGGATGCAGCACTTGGGGAATAATGGTATTGAGAGGTGGGGAGGTGAATAAGCGATGCGACCGGTAAAGGGAGGTTTGAACTTGCCACACACAGACCTTGCTGTGGACGCGCTGGGATTATTGCTGTGGTTCTTGGAAGTCGGGATTCTTCCAAGTAACAAGGGATGGGACAAGAGGAAACGGCCTCAAGCTGTGCCAGGGGAGGTTTAGGTTGGACATTAGGAACAATTCCTTCCCCAAAGGCTGCCCAGGGCAGTGCTGGAGTCACCATCCCTGGAAGCATTCACAAACCATGTAGATGAGGCCCTCAGTGCCATGGGTCAGTGGTGGCCTTGGCAGTGCTGGGGAGCAGTTGGACTTAATGATCTTAAAGGTCTTTTCCAACCTGCTTGATTCTAAGATTAAGAGCTGGAGACTGTTGCTTACCTTGTTAGAGGGTGACCTAAGGCTCACTTGGAACTCCCTGTTTTGCTAGTACCACTAAAGGCTAAATTCCTAATAGGAAGTGATGTCTTCCAAACCACATCTTGCAGAGGGGAAGAAAGCGTTGCTATTGCCCTGTGCCGCCTTGTGCTGTGTATTTTACATGTTATTCTTTCCCTTCTCCTTGCCCTGTCCTTCTGCAGGGGGTATGTGCCCGTTCCGACACATCAGTGGGGAGAAGACAGTTGTTTGCAAACACTGGCTACGAGGACTGTGCAAAAAGGGAGACCAGTGCGAGTTTCTACACGAGTATGACATGACCAAGATGCCCGAGTGTTACTTCTACTCCAAATTTGGTAAGGGCTGTTGTAACTCCTACTTCGTATTCCTTGCTGGCGTGGGAGTCTGGTGAAGAGGATCCCGGTACATCCCTGTTATCCATCTGTGGAGCGTTACGTTTCTTTTCTGTCTGATGGTATTAGACCATAATGTTTTCAGGTCTTAGTCCTTCACTTTACTACCCCCCTGATTCTGTGACATACTGTAGATGTCTCCTCTCCCAAGAGCTTGTCTGTTGGGGGAAGAGGTGGGAAGTTCAAGTTTTGACTGGGTTTTATGCCTTACGTTCTCTTTGGGTACAAGATGAGTAGGCCGAGCAGTTGATCTTTGCATGACTCTTATTTTGGGGAGATGGTGAGCGGCAGAGGGCATGGGGGTGCAAAACTTTTATGCACTTGCTTTCCAGCTCTGGAGATGTGGACATAATGAGGCAACTTGCTGTCAGAAACTTACAGTCTTGTAGGTTTCCTTGGATTGAGGTTAGTGTGCAATTTGTAGTTTCTCCACGCTTCTGGTACACTGAATGTTTGGGGTTTGTTACCGTGACTGCTCTTTTCAGTTTAGTTTCTGCATTGTTTCTAAAAGCACCCATGTCTAATCCAGCCTGGTAGAACTTTGCTCACCGGGGGTGAGTCCTTGGTGTTCTTCATCTAGGGTAAGGCAGGCAGTATGACTGCTGTGCCTGAATTTATCCATGTTGGTAATGCTTTGTGGGAGCTACGTGAGCCAGGTAACGTTTTGAGAACCATTTGATCTTGAACCTGCACAATTGACTAACAAGTGTGTTTGCCTTTGCTACAGGGGAATGCAGTAACAAAGAATGCCCGTTCTTGCACATTGACCCGGAGTCTAAGATCAAAGACTGTCCCTGGTATGACAGAGGCTTCTGTAAACATGGTATGTCCCACAGTTGCTGCTTCTGTGGCTATAACTCAAGGGTAGGGTGTTGCTGTTCTTTCTTTGGGTGATCTGCTTGTGTACTTGCTGCTGCTGAGTGCTGGGGTACGTATACATGGAACATGAACTGCTGAGCTTTGTGTTGCAGGTCCCCTCTGCAGACACCGGCACACTCGGAGAGTCATTTGTGTGAATTACCTGGTAGGATTCTGTCCAGAGGGGCCTAGCTGTAAATTCATGCAGTGAGTATGCTTCCAGGCTTGTCCTGTCATCTTGTGTTTCTCTTTGTAATCAGGTCTATGTCAAAAAAGGGTGCTGCAGTGCTTCCCAGTGGCTTTGGAGACTCGGCCAATGTTTAGTTTCTTGTAATGATCTAAGGATCTTTTTAGGGGATTACCCTGAAGACTTCAGAGTGGAGATCAGATCCCCTCAGTGCAGTGGGATCACATGGGTTTGTCAGATAACCACAGAATGTTTTGGGTTGGAAGGGACCTTAAAGCTCATCCAGTTCCAACCCCTGCCACAGGCAGGGACCCCTTCCACTAGAGCAGCTTGCTCCAAGCCCTGTGTCCAACCTGGCCTTGAGCACTGCCAGGGATGGGGCAGCCACAGCTTCTCTGGGTACCCTGTGCCAGCGCCTCAGCATCCTCACAGGGAAGAACGTCTGCCTAAGAGCTTGTCTCAATCTTCTGTTCTGGAAGACTTCACAGCTACAGGGATGTCCTACATCCCAGATTCTCATTTTCCTATAAATAATTGCTGAGCATCAGAATGGAAGGAGAAGTGGGGAGGGGGAAAGCCTGTTCCCTGTGGGCTGAATTGACTTGGCTGAATGGTTGGTTGGTTGGTTGGAGTTAATTGAGCTGATGGTAAAATGTTGACCTATGATTTAAAGATCGATTTTCTTGTTTCCATCTAACCCAGCCCTCGGTTTGAACTGCCAATGGGAACCACAGAGCAACCACCGCTGCCTCAACCGACACAAGCACAGCAAAAGGTACACAATTCCCCCACCTGCAAAGCACTGCCTGCAGTGCTCTATAGTCAAAAGTGGACACCTGGGCTCTTGCTGGAGTCTTTATTGGAGAAATACTCAGTGAATGAGGGAAAACCCTACCTATTTTATAACAGGATATGATACTCTTTTGTGTTTGAGAACTTGGAGAACAAATCCTAATCAATCACAAAGCGCTGTTCTCCTTCCAGCCTTCTCATGTCCACCATATGATCACAACAGACTTGCTGCTGCTCCTAGTACTGTGGGGCTTTGCTTTGCTTTTTTCCTCCCTGTGCCCTGGTTAACCTTGGTCACTAGTATTGTCCTGCAGCTCAAAGGCCAACAGTAGCAGTTCTGTTACTTGGGGGCACTGCCTGGAAGAGAGGGTGCAATGCAAGAATTAAGCAGTGGACAACAGTGAGTGCTGTTAGAGTGATGAAAACCCTACCATTGCTTCAACTGTATGGTGGAGATGTAGTCACAGAGCACTCCCACATGACACAGAAGCACCTCATACGTGGTTGTGCAGCAATCTGCCAGTTTTTGTAATCTGTGTGATACCTGTCAGTGATGACAAGGGATATTTTGGCAGCCTAAACCTACTCCCTAAATCTGCTTTCCAGAGAAAAACAGAATTGCTGGGCTTTGTAAGCCTCGGTGCTCCATTTCTTCTCTGTGCTGCTCCAGCTGGCAGAGCACCCACGCACAGATTTGGAGGAAAATTGATCATTTGATGTATGGGGTGCTCTTTTCCCTTCTAACAAAGTAACAGCCATAAAGTTCTTTATCCTTGATGCACTTAATGACTCAGAACCCTTCTCCTGACCAACAGAGGACACCCCAAGTCATCGGAGTCATGCAGTCTCAAAATAACAACGCTGGGAACAGAGGACCCCGGCCGTTGGAGCAAGTCACCTGCTACAAGGTAGGCTAGAGGGGAGGGAAAGCAGAGGGTGCTGGGTGTGAGGAGTACAGAGTGCATGTCCCAGCGCCCTGTCCAGCTCAGTGTTAACAGAATCCAGTGCTGGGGAATCCACCACTTCCCTGGGAGATTATCCCAGTGGCTGGTTGTTCTCATTGGGGATTATTTTCCTCTTGTGTCTAGTCAGGATCTCCCCAGCAGTAACTTGTGCCCACTGCCCCTCATCCTTTCCGTGTGACTCCTTGTAAAAAGGGAGTCTCAGTCTTTGTAGCCACCCTTTAATACTGGGACATGGTGACAGGGTCTCCCCTAAGCCTTCTTTTCTCTAGGCTGAACAAGCCCAGCTCTGTCAGCCTTTCCTTACAGGGCTTTTCACTCCTTGGAATGTTGTGGCCCTTCTCTGGACCCTCTCTAGCCTGTCCACATCTTTATTGCATATTGGGGACCAAACCTGAACCCAGTATTCCAGGTGTGGCCTAATGTGTGTCAAGAGTGGGATGATGACTTCTCTGTCTCTGCTGCTGATGCCCTAATTCAGGATAGCTGACTGGGAGAGCCCCACAGATCTTGGATACAGTGCCCATTAGGTGGAATAGTCTTGGAATCTTCTTGTGCGTTAGAGCTCTGCACTGTTCATAGCGGTACGCTGAGAGCTCTCTCTTCTGTAGTACAATAACTTGGCATCGTGTTGCTCCCAGCACAGAAGCAGCTTTTGCTCCAAGGAGTGGAAACAGCCCATAAATCATGTCTTTTGTCACTCTGTGGTTCACTTCCCCTGCAAAATGCTGCATCTTCCATACACAGCATCTGAGCAGATGCTGCTGATAAAGGCAGCCAGAGGAAACGAGCTGTAACTGTGTAATAATTGCTCTCTCTTCCTTTCTCCTTTTAGTGTGGTGAAAAAGGTCATTATGCCAACAGATGCACCAAAGGACATCTGGCCTTTCTCAGTGGACAGTGAAAGAGCAGAACGAAGAGTGCGAGGGAGTTATTAATGCTGAGAAAAGGTTTCTGCCTAGCACTATGTCTTGAACTATTAATCAGGGGTTTTTTTAATGCCATTACTGAAAGAACTGGTCAGAGGCTGGCTGCTGCTAAGCAACATTTTTGTAACTGTCCACAACTTGTTTTGTTTTATGTTTTAACCTTTTTAAAATAGATTTTGGCCTCTGCCTCTCTTCACTGAGCCCTGCTGAAAGGTAGATCTAAAAGCCAATCGATACGCAAACCTCTCACTGGTGCAGCACTCTACCTAAACACGTCTTCTGCCAGTGTTTCTTTAAAGTGTTTTCCTTCTGCCACTTCTCTTTGGGGAGCCTATGGAAGCAGGCAGACTGGGAAAACTCATACTTGAAATGCCTTCCCTTCAGTGAGGAAGCAGAGATTCTGCTGTCCTGTAGCTCTTAAAAAGCAAAGTCATGTTCCCAGGTCCAGCCTGTTGTAGTCAATAAGCTTGTCCTGGTGGCTCACTTAAGGCCTTACGTATGTGAGGCTCTAAAACTCTCATCCACTTGCTTTGTTTCTGTGCTTCTTGCTATACTGAAGGCTAGAAATTCATCTTCTGGGTGAGAACTGATCAAGGGGAGAATAAATTGGCATCTCTGTGCTTAGCCAAACAGTGAGGAGCAATGATTATAGGAAAGCCATGCCTGTGCTCATGTTCCGTTTGCAAACAGCAAAGGGAAATGAACACAGCTTGAAGAGAGGAATAGAAGAGCCTTGTCTCAGCCCCCCCGACATCCAGCTCACACTGAGCAGGTATTTCCATAGCCTAGAGAAGACTGAGAAGTGGAGAGATATATTCTTATGGAACACTGCTTTTAAAAGTGGTAGAGTGTTCTGAGAGCAATTTTTGTAGCCAAACTCCTTTCGTTTTGTGAGAAGATTATTTCCAAAGGGCCAATGACAAAACATCAATTAAAAACAAGACAAAAAATGTACCGACAACGTGAGCCTTATTGATCCTGAGCCCTCTCCTTTGTTGCCTTTTTACTTTGTTTTTATTGAAATGGACTGATGGAAAAAGCTGGGTGTGAATTTCTTTTCTTGTAAGAACAAGGCAGTATGCCTGGATGAAATGACCAGAGCGCTTATTTGAGTGACTGCTATTATTTCACTGTGGAGAGTCAGTCAAAACAGGTGTTTCATGACAGACCATTGGATGCTTCTTGTAAGACATTGTGCCTGCAGAGGCTGAACAGTGGTTCAACTGTGTGTTACCTGTGTGTAACTGGACATGTGGAAAAGGAGCAAAACACTTTGGTACCTGGTCACCTTCCCCACCTAGTTGAGTTTATGGTCTTCCCTATCTGAGGAGATGCTTTGCAAACCTGAAAGCCTTCCTGTTACCACCATAGCTCTTCAGAGATTGTTCACATCCCTTAAGAAGTGGTTTTCCCTCTCCCTCCTGGTCAGACAGGCATACTGCAGGTTGCACCTTCAGCTACAAGCATCAGCAGGTAGTGTTGTGGCAGGATGTGCTTGCTGAATGGGACCAAACCCTCAGATGCTCCTTTAAGCCACACTTACGAACATTGTGGTTCTTGTTAAAACTTCCCAGTGCTGCCTTGAAGTCAAGCAGTAAAGTTTTCCTTTTAATATAAGCTTATACACATTCAGAAGAGCCCTCCAGCTTCTTTTAGCAACGCAAGCAAGGTTTTAATAGAAATATCAGGTTACCAGAGGCAAGAAGCATTAGAATCCCAGTGACAGTGTGGGAGTTGCAGGCCTCTTTAAAGCTAGACCATCTGGAAACTGCTCAAATACGTGCAGTCCCCAGGTGACAGCCTGACTAAGGATCAGAAACACATGGCCCCACCACCAAGCCACCTAAAGCTCAGATATTGTTCTTTCAGATCAAAATGCCTCCTTTCAGCTACTTCATCCTGTACTAATGGGCATTAGGAAGTAATCCAATGCTTTTTCCTTTTATCCAGAGTTAAACAGGAATCAGTTCTCATCGTTTCCCCAGTTCCTAATACAACCTAAACAACATTTTCCCCACCCTTAGGTTTTAGGGGTGAAACTGAGAAGCCAAAACCTCACTTGCACAGTACAATGAACAAGTCAGTTACAAGAGTGTCAGCTCAGTACACGTAAAGTGTCTGCACTTTATTATTGGTCATAGTAGTACAGATGTTAGTATGAATAGTTGTGATGTCTTCAGTCAGGGTAACTGTTCAGCAGCCAGGTCTGTTCCAGAGCTGTACCTTCACTTCCTGAAAGCCACACTTCAGTGGTACTTCCTGCGGCGCTCGTGCTCTGCAGCATGCAAAACAAAGCAGGTTAGTTTTACTGAAGTCACCAGAAATACACACCACGCCTGAAATAACAGCAAAGAAAGCACTCTAAGGACAAATCTGAGCATGCAGCTTCTAAGCACCATCAGGTCAGACAGGCAACAAGAGCTACATCACCAAGAGACCAATGGCCATCTGATAAGTAAATATTCAAGTGTTTTGCAGCTAAATGAAGCCTGCTTGCTCACAGGCTGGGATTCAAGCAGCAGTGGTGTGCACAGCCATTCATAGCAGCAGCAGATTGTTTGTATTGCCCCAAGCAGCCTCCCAAGCCACGCTATACGCATACAGCCGCATTGCTTTTACTTACTCAGGTGGCTGTAGCTCCAGATGTAGCTGATAACAACATAACCAGCAAGCACCATGGAGATGCCACCCAGGCCCCCTTTCCTCACATCAATGTATTTATTGTAGTATCTGTTGTAACCTGCGGAGGAAGAATGTTGTCAGAGGAGTTACACACTGGGCAGGGTCTGAAAACAGCCTGGTTTCACACAGCTTGGGTAAATGGTTCCTAAGGAACATCTGAGGGTCTCAGAGAAGAGAAGGCTGCGAGGAGACCTCAGAGCAGCCTTCCAGTATCTGAAGGGGGGCTACAAGGATGCTGGGGAGGGAGTCTTCATTAGGGACTGTAGCGATAGGACAAGGGGTAACGGGTTCAAACTTAAACAGGGGAAGTTTAGACTGGATATAAGAAGGAAGTTCTTTACTGTGAGGGTGGTGAGGCACTGGAATGGGTTGCCCAGGGAAGTTGTGAATGCTCCATCCCTGGCAGTGTTCAAGGCCAGGTTGGACAGAGCCTTGGATGCCATGGATTAGTGCGAGGTGTCCCTGCCCACAGCAGGGGGTTGGAACTGAATGATCTTAAGGTCCTTTCCATCCCAAACCATTCTATGATTCTAAATCCGAATGCTATAGCATACAATCTACAGAGCATAGACACAATCTACAGCAAAGGGCATGGGTCAAAACTTACACAAGAAGAAATACCAAAAACAAGCCTTTGGTGGATAAAGCCCAAGCAAAAAACAAATCTACCGATGGAAAAACACGATGCTAAAGAGGAGATGCTGTTCTGAGAAAGCAAAAATCGCCTCGAATCAGCCCGATAGTACCAGATCCCCCCCCACATCCAGCACCCAGCGATGCTCATGCACCGAGGTGCCTTAGCTCCGGCAGGAGAAGGGATCCGCATCCCTCATTGTCCCCGCCGGCCGCGGGGGTGCGGAGCAGGATTGATCCTCTGAGCCCTCACCTCACCTCTTCGTATGGCCCCCAGGATGCCGCCGGGGGTGAAGTCCCTCATGGCCAGCCAGCTGGGCAGCTGGCCCAGCTTCACGTCCAGCAGCTTCATGTCCTTGAGGAGAACTGCAGCACATAAAGAGACAGACACAGCCGGTCAGAGGGGACGGGAGGAGGCAGGGAAGGAGCCGCGGTCACCTTGGGGCCCCACCGCACTCACCCGGCGGCTGCGCCATCTTGCCGCTGTGAGGGGCCGGCCGGGAAGCGCCGCGCTGAGGCTGCCGGGAGGAAGGTCGGGCGGAACCCGGATGTTGGGGCGGGTGGCGAAGGGCGGGCGCCATGTTGGGAGGGTCCGTCCTCCCCTTGGTCCCTCCATCGTCCCGCCCCGGAGGGGCCTCCTGAGGAGGTGATGGCCGCGGTGGTGCCGCCTTGTCCCGTCCCATCTCCTCACCGCGGGGTCGGTTCCTCAATGGGGGCGGCACATGCTGCTTCCATCAGTGGGCATGTGGGGTCCTGCCAGCGTGGCGGCCTGTCACTGCGCTGGGGTCTCCGTGAGGGGTTTCCTGCCCTGATCCCGGTCTCCTCCTCAGCAGCAGCAGCAGCAGCAATGGACCCATGGAACGGTTTGGGTTGGAAGGGACCTTAAAGCTCATCCATTTCCAAGCGGGGACCCCTTCCACTAGAGCAGCTTGCTCCAAGCCCCTGTGTCCAACCTGGCCTTGAGCACTGCCAGGGATGGGGCAGCCACAGCTCCTCTGGGCACCCTGTGCCAGTGCCTCAGCACCCTCACAGCGCAGAACTGCTTCCTTACACCTTATGCAGGGTGTACTCCGATGGTAGAAGGTGCCAGCATCCCTGTGAGTGTTGGGTGTTAGCGCTGCAGCTTGTGGGGAAACAGCAGAGAGGGAAAACCCCACCATTTCTGCATCAGCATCATCACAAGACTTCATCATCAGTTTTGCGGGGCTGCTGGTGTCCCACAAATGATTTTTCTCCAGTTCTGAACAAGTTGCAGCTCTTATCCCTGTAAATGTGCATCCACAGATAGGCTATACTGCAACGTGCGTTTAGATTTGCTATCATATTTCAATGTAAGAGGTGAGGGCTTCCCAGACCTCTTTCAGGGGTCACCCCCTCTCCTGCAGTCTTCCTAGGTGAGAGCATTGGAATGTTCAGCTGTGATTTTCATAGGGTTTAGGTGGCAGATGAATAACGTATCCTGTGGTTCCATTTCAGTGCCCACTCAGGACTTTTCCCTATGGGAGCATGCTGTGTTTTACTACAGCTCCTCAGGAAGGATGTCAAAGGCACCGGTAAACGCTGGAAGCAAACCTGCGTAACCAAAGTGGTGGAAGAGGTAACGTGCAGATAAAGACATCTTTTGCCTTCCTGCAATAGGAAAGAGCCATCAGGAGTTATTTCGTATTCCTAAGTGTCTTTTTAGGGGATTTAATGCACTCAGGCGCCCAGAGAGAGCAGCGTTGGTGTTGGGACGGGGATGAGGACTCCGGCAGGTGTCACCCGCATGTAGCACAACGGAGCCGCAGGAGGGATGCTCTCCGTGAGCCTGACCTCTAGAGGTTGCGCATGGAATCATCCAGGTTCGCATCAGTCAGGTCTTGGTGGTGGTGCTGGACCCCGACAGCAAAGTGATCCAGCAGTGAACGGGGAGCAGCCATCACCATGGGATGCTCAGGTCCGCAGCCAGGACCCCATAGTGCCTGGATATTAAATCCCCATCGCACTTAGGGCTGTTGGGACGGATGGGAGATGATGAAAACTAAATCAAGGACGCTGAGCGCAGCCCGCAGAGCTCCTACATAAACTGATCTTTGCAGCTTGAACTTCCTTGAGGTCATAAAGCCTTATTCCACATTCTTTCCTCCTGGCACTACAGTATCCCTGTGTTAGGGTTTTTGTTACCTGGTATTACATGAGTTGAGGTACTCTGTAACGCGATACACAGAGGCTGATCTGTTTCACCTGCTCGTTTATGGGAATTCATTTATTTACACGGAATAGTGCTCTCCCATAGCATAACGTTAAAAATAAAGGCAGAAGGAATAGATTACTGCCTGTTTATTTTCCTTTTCCTTATTATTAGAAAGTAGGATTAGGGAAGAGCGGTGTGCCTGCTCCCTTGAAGAAAGGGTTCCAAATTTAGTCCTTGTTAAATGAGTTAAAAATACCCGTATTAAAAATTTATCCTTTATTATTTCACTTTACAGGTAACTGTCATTTTATTGCCGAGTGTCCCCTGATGAACTACGTGGCCTTTTTATACTCCTTGCATAAAAGCATGCTTCAGACTCGCTTCCCTCGTTCTTGCAAGGCGACCTATTGTTTTAAATGGGATCACTCATGCAAGGCAGATTAATTCACCTGCAGGAAGAAAGCCAGTGGTGGGTGCCTCATTTTCAGGAGTTCCCTGCAGAGCAGAATAGCACATCAAGTTCCTTAGAGTGCTTATGGCAAGCTCTGGAGGCATTTGCTTTGTTAGGGCAGGAATGGAAGTCAGTAACAAGGGAACATCTCCCATGCAAGCAGAGACAGCACTGACCCAACCCTTCTGCTTTGGTAAAGTAAGAGAAGAATAGTGCTGTTGTCTTTGTGCCATCTTAATCCTGCACCAAGCGGGAAGAGTTAATGGTTTGGATGGGTGGGAGGTTTTGCAGCACACATTTCCTCCCTTTGACCTGTCCTGCTGGCCAAAATGCAGGCTCTTGCTGGTTATCAGATGGGGGGAGGAGGAGGACTGATGAAGGAAGGCATTTCTGGTGTATTTCTGTTTGCTTACAAGAATGCTCACAGCCCTTCTTTTCTGAACACAGAAGAAATCATGCAAGTGAGAGCCAGTTTCCTTACTTATAGCTCCAGACCTGCTCCAGGCAGCAGTGTGACCCCAAATCCCTCTGTTTTCTTGCATTCACTCCAGGTTTTATATCAATGATTGTTCAGGCTCTTTGAAGTTTCTGTTCCCTGCCTGTTTCAATGTGCTGTCTTTCTGTCTCCTCCTCCACCTGAACTGTATTGTTCAGCCACACATAACCTTCTTTCCTTTTAATATCCTACCCAAAACTGTCCTCCCAGAGCCTTCAGGTACTTGAGCAATTTTGCATTGTGGGTGAAAATAGACTTAATGTCTCCTTCAGCTACCCTAAATAAAGGCATGCAGTTCAACCTACTGATTGCAAGCAGGTTTAACCCAACCTATAAAACTAAAAGCCTAATGGAGTGTTGCCCTGAGGTTTTCAGCTTACTGAAGACCCCTCTAGAAAATGCTGTGAAGTTTATAAGTAATGGCATAGAAATAATAGGGACTACGTCAGTCAGAAACCCAGTGTGTTTGCAACAGACGTCAATGGGTACGAAAGAGGTTTCCTTTTTCCGGTAGCAGCCCTAACACATGACATTGGAGCTTTCAATCCACGGTTGTGGCCTGAAAAGTTAAGTAACACTTCATTAAAGTTGCTGAAAAGGAGAAGTAAAGGAGAAGGAAGAAGCGTAACACAACATCTCTCAGACTGTGAGGAGGCTGGGATCATCTGTATTGTGGTGTGTGCCACCCCTTGGAAACTCAGGGTCTCACCTGGGCCTGGTGGTCAGTGATAACACAGTAATCATAGAACATCAGGTGGGAAGGGACCTCAAGGATCATAGAATCATAGAATCACAGAATGGTTTGGGTTGGAAAGGACCTAAAGATCATTCAGTTCCAACCCCCTGCCATGGGCAGGGACACCTCACACTAAACCGTCCAGGCTCTGTCCAGCCTGGCCTTGAACACTGCCAGGGATGGAGCATTCACAGCCTCCCTGGGCAACCCATTCCAGTGCCTCACCACCCTTACAGTAAAGAACTTCTTCCTTATATCCAACCTAAACTTCCCCTGTTTTAGTTTGAACCCGTTACCCCTTGTCCTATCACTACAGTCCCTAATGAGGAGTCCCTCCCCAGCATCCCTATAGCCCCCCTTCAGATACTGGAAGGCTGCTCTGAGGTCTCCACGCAGCCTTCTCTTCTCCAGGCTGAAGAGCCCCAACTTTCTCAGCCTATCTTCATATGGATCATCTGGTCCAGCCTTTCTTAGCAAAGCATGATCTAGACGTGATGTCCTAGCACCCTGTCCAGCTGAATCTTAACAGAATCCAGTGTTGGGCAGTCCACAACTTCCCTGGGGAGATTATCCCAGTCTCTGTTCTCGTTGGGAAATATTTTCCTCTTGAGTCCAATCAGAATCTCCCCAGCAGTAACTTGTGCCCATTGCCTCACATCTTTTCCATGTGATGCTTGTAAAAAGGAGCCTCTGCCTTCTTTGAAGCCACTCTATAATACTGCAGTATGTTGATAAGGTCTCCCCGAGCCTTCTTTTCACTAGGCTGAACAAGCCCAGCTCTGTCAGCCTTTCCTTGTGTGGCTTCCCAGTCCTTGGATAATCTTTGCGGCCCTTCTCTGACCCGCTCCACCCTGCCCACATCCTTTTTGCATAGCAGGAACCAAAACTGAACCAAGTATTCCAGGTGTGGCCTGACAAGTTCCAAGTAGAGTGGGCTGACGACTTCTCTATCTCTGCTGGTGATGCCCTTGTTGGTGAAACACAGCATCCTGTTGCCTTTCTTTGCTGCAGCTGCACACTGTTCACTCCTATTGAGCTTAATATGCAGACACAGTGCCTGTAGGTGTGTAAAGCAGCACAGAGTGGCCTTCAGGAAGGTCAAGAGATGAGGATTTACCCATCTGATCCTGTGCCCACTGATGACAAAGCACTCAGGATCAAACCTACACAAGTGGACGGATAGGTTCTGAAACATAGTTTGGCACAGGATGCTTCTTGGCTCCTAAACACTTATTTCAATCTGATGTCTTCCAACCAGCTTAAGCTAAGTGGCTGCAGCCATCAACAAGAAAGAGAAATCATGGGCTACCAGTACTGCCAGAAGCTCAATGGTGAGATGCAGGTTTCATCAACCAGTCATTTGGAGAAAAGTTCTGGTCCCAGGTAGCTTGATCCAGTTATTGTTTGCTGGTACAAACAGTTGGATGTGGTGAGAGCAGGGCAGCTGCTCAGCAAAGGTCTCAGCCTCATTCATCTAACATTGTGCTTGTGGTAGAAACCAGATTCCTGAGCTGAACAGGCTGAGAAAGGGGGATGGAGTTTGGAATCTTTTCCATGGCCTTTGGAAAATGGTGACTTGCCTTGTGTAGATAATAACACCTCAAGATTGACCCAGCAAAAGCAGTTGAGAGAATTAACCTATGACTGTAAGCAAATTGCTTGCTCTGTATTATTACTGAGCCATTTTCCTTAGTCAACCTCAAAACACTTTACAAAGCAGATCACTTCCCAGTGATTAATAGTTTAGCATGTACACAGTTC